TGTGAATGAAGCTACATTTTTTATATGCGCTATCTTGTAATTGTAATTTAATAAACTAATTGGATCCAAACTAATTTAATTGGAATGTAATAAATTAATCAGAGTCTTTCCTAAAATATGAAAAGAAAGTTAATTTTCCAAGAGATTTCCAAAATGGATATGTTAAATTTATATAACAAAAATAATTTTGCATCAATAATTCTATATGCTTATATGCATATACAAATTGAGTTTTGTTGGATGTAAGAGATTCTTAACTAATTTTTACGAAAGCTAAATCCTGAAAGATGCAACAAAAACATCTTCTACTCACTAAACTTGGAAGGGATTTCTGGAGATCATCAGTAGCTTACAAAGAAAAGCATTCGGGTATGTTTTAAATATCTCATAGAAGGAGATTCCACAAGTTCTCTGGGCAGCCAATTCCAGTGCTTTGTGACCCTCACAATGAAGTTTTTTCTCATGTTCAGATGGAAATGTTACATGATTTCAAGGAACACCTCCAAGTAGGTCCAATGAATGTTTCTATATTTCTCAGTTGCAGTCTGATCTCCTATATAAAGGTAAAGTTTTCTAGCATCAAAATCACACTTTGAATTCTCTGTTATGCTGATCTACCAGTATATTACTACAAATTACTTTTGCACTTTGAAGACGCTGTCCTCTGAGACCTGCCAGCTTTGATAAATTCCTTCACTAATCAGAACTCCCTCCGGTGGGATTCCATGCACCAGCTCCCTGATTAAGCAAACTTTCTGTTTGCCTTAAGTTCAGGGTATTTTCTTACTACTTGCCTTTCTCACTTCCTTCAAGAACCTCAAACTCTTAAATTTCTTAAATTTCAGTCAATATAGACAATGATATTATTCACAAGCACATCTTCAAATAGTTTTTTCTTTCATAACACTTAATAGCAGACTTGCATCACCTCTTGTTGGTCCATTTAATGCCTACACAGAGCAATAATTCCTGAAATCTTCCAGAATTAGATTGCTTTGCATCCAACCATGATATCCTTTCAGCAGCTGTACAGTCAGACCCCAGCGAGAACCAGATTCTGAAATTCAGAGACATGAGTTCTTTAAAGACTATAATCTATCTCATCAGGTGATCTCCCATCAAAATCTTGTCCTTACTGATCTCTCCTCTGATACTCTTCACAAGCTATTAGTCCAGCTATCACCCATTACATAGAAGAGCTCAAAAGATTTGGGTTGATTTAGATCTGTGGGCAACTTCCATCCCCTCAGGCCTCTTCTTCCCTTTTTCCTGAAGAGCCGTCTGTCCTTCATAGTACTTCAGTTCTACAAACTTGGCACAGTATTTTAATTTCTCTAACAATATTTGACTCCTGTAACTAAATACAGCTCTTTCTCATTGATTCCCAGGGTGCATGCACTTCTGTACCAATTCTACCCATGCAGATGAGCAGCTGGGAACACTGGGCTAAGGTCTGGACAGGCTTTGGTAGACTCTCCGTGATATTCTAACTCAATGTCCACAGCAAGCAACATATCCCTCAAAATGAAAATTGAGATACATAGGGACTTCTGTCCCTACAGAATAGATTGTCCCCCTAGCTGCTTCCGCCTCTTGCTGTTTTCTCCTGATGTTAATGCATTGTTCAGGAGAAAGCTGGCTCTGATTTCTGCTCAGTTATGGCTTTCTTCCCCTTTTTTGCTATGTGACTTTTGAACCAATTCTACAATAGCAGGTGTGGAGGTGGAAAAAGAGCCATCCTCCACTTTCAGGAGGTGACAGTTTCCTACCTTCATCAGCATGGATCTCTCCACTTACCCTGCAAAAGATTGCAGCCTCTGGCCGCTCCTCCTCTATGTTTTTGAGACTTTTTTGTCCCTAAGGATGTTCCTGCAGCACATTCCCAGCACCTTCATGCACTCCTGTGCAAACTGCTCAATGAAATGCTGCTGACGGTCATCACCCTCTAGGACCTACATTCTGGGCCTGGCCTGCATTACTGGAACAGACATCTGATTCTCCACCACTGGAGCCACCCATCCCAGCAGCAGCCCTGATCCTGGAGTAACACAAAGTGCTTGATGTTAAACCAGAAGCGGCGCTCAAATAGTGCTGCATAAAATGTCAGCACTGCTTTACTAACACGTAGACTACTACATCTTGGAAAGCCAAGGCCCAGCTTGAATTGTATTTGAATATGGATTCCAAAAAGAACAAGAAAGGATTCTACAGGTACCTCAATCAGAAAAGGAAAGTCCAGAAGAAGGGTGAGGTACTTAAATTTTTTGTCTCTGTTTTTCCTGATAACCACACGCCACACAGCCCTCAAATGTTTGGTCTGCTAAGAGGAGACTGTGGAAGCACTGCCCCTCCCACTGTAAATGAAGATCAGATTCATGACTACCTGAGGAACCTGCACATTTACAAGTCACGGGTCCTGCTGAGATGCATCTCAGACTCCTAAGGGAATTGGCTTATGTGGCTGCTAAGCCACTCCCCATAATATTTGAAAAGTCATGGCAATCAGGTGAAACCCCTGGTGACTGGAAAAAAAGGAAACATCACACCCATTTTTTAAAAGGGTAAAAAATATGATTCTGGGAACAACCGATCTGTCAGTCTCACCTCTGTGTAGGGAAAGATCATGGGGCAGACCCTCCTGGAAGCTATACTAAGGTGCACGGAAGCCAGGGAGGTAATACAGAAAAATCAGCATGGCTTTACCAAGGTCAAATCCTGTTTGACCAACCTAGTGACCATTTACGATGGCGTCACTGCATTAATGGACAAAGAAGAGCCACTGATGTCATCTGAACTTCAGTAAGGCTTTTGACACAGTACCCCACATTTTTTCTTTCCAAACTGGAAAGATATGGATTTGTTGGGTGGACTGTTCAACAAACAAAGAACAGGCTGCAGGATCAAGTCCGGAGAGTGGTGATCACTGGCTCCATGTCTGGACGTAGACTGTTGAGAAGTGGTGTCCCCCAGGGGTTGGTGCTGAAGATATCCTTAATATCTTCATCAATGACATCAACAGTGGGGTTGAGTACACCCTCAGTAAGTTTTTTGTTGACACCACGCTGTGGGGTGCAGTTGAAACACCAGAGGGACAGGATGCATTCACAGAGACCTTGACAGACTTGAGCAGTGGGACCAGGTGTGCCACATGAGGTTCAACAAATACAAGTGCAAAGTCTTGCACTTGGGTTGAGGCTACCGCCCCTTACCAATATAAACTGGGGGATAAAGGGATTGAGAGCAGCTCTACCAAAAAGGACCTGCAGGTAACGATGGATGGTGAACTGGATGCGAACCAGCAGTGTGCCCTTGCAGCACAGAAAGCCAAGTATATTCCGGGCTGCATCAAAAGAAGCAGGGCCAGAAGTTCAAGGGAGGTTGTCATGCCTGTCTGCTCTGCACCAATGAGGTCTCATCTGTGTCCTGATGAGGAGTCCTCAGTACAGGAGAGACATAGATCTGTTGGAGTACATCCAGAGAAGGGCCACAAACCACAGAATTGAATACCTCTCCTATGAGGATAGGCTGAGAGAGCTGAGGCTGTTCAGCACAGAGAAGGCAGCGAGATGGCCCGATAGCAGGCTTTCAGTATCTAAAGGGGAGCAACAGGAAAAAAGGGGACAGACTATTTAGAAGGGTTTTTTGGTGGTAGAACAAGGGGAAATGGCTTCAAGCTCATGGAGGCTAGATTTAGGTTAGATATAAGGAAAAAAATCTTTCACTGTGAAGGTGGTGAGGCACTGGAACAGGTTACCTAGTGTTGTGGTTGATGTCCCATCCCTGGAGACTTTCAAGGCGAGGCTGGATCAGGCCCTGGGCAACCTGATCTAGCTGTGGTGACCCTGTCTGTTGCAGGGGAGTTGAACTAAATATCTGTATAGTCAATGAATGTACAGATGTTATAGTTATGAAGTATACCAGAGAGCATGGCTACGTAGTTATTACACAACAGCAGAAAGGATAGGATGCTTATTCTTATACTGGGCTCACTTGTGAAACTCCAGCAGAGTGGATCCCCAGAAGAGATACTTCCCCACTGGTCTTCTTCCCATCTCTTAAATGGGTCTAGGAGAGGTAGAGCCAGGCTCCACTCCTTCTGGCAGCACAGATGAATTGCCTTCACCTGTGCTCCTGTGGCTGACTCATTGCTTGCCTCAGGTGATCAATCAGAGGTTTAGGCCATGATTCAGCACTTCCCATACAATAGCCCTCAGAGGTTCCTTCCAACTCTAAGGATTCTATCTCACAAGCTCCCCTCTGCCCTCAGGCCTGCTTCCCCAGACTGTCTCTCTTGGACTGGTGTGCTAGAGCTATTGAAAGGTTATCTGGTGGAAGAATGAACAACAGTGGATGAGGATATGTCAGGGATTACTGGAGAGTGAGACAAAATGGGTTCACCAAAATGTACTGAGAGAGCTGGGTGGTGTCCTCCAAAGCTACTCTCTGTCAACTTTGAAAGATGATGGAGAACAGAGAGGTCCTTGACAGTTGCATAAAAGCAACTGTGATAAATAGCTGCAAATAATGTCAAAAATGAGCACTGGATCTGTGAAGAGAGGCTGAAGGAACAGCGTTTGATCATTCTGGTGAAGAGATGGCTTCAGTGGGATTTAATAGCAGTGCCCCAGTACTTATGAGGGGATTATCAAAAAGACAAAGCCAGAGTCTTCACAGTGGTGCAAACTGGGAGAACAACAAAAAATAATCATATACTGGAGCAAGAAATGTTCTGTCCGGGCACTGTCAGAACCCAGAACATTTTTAACCATGAGTAGAGTCTACTAGTGGGTCAGACTGCCCATTTGAGCAGCAATTGGACCTGAGGTATCTTCCAACTTCAATTATCCTTCAGTTCTGTTGTGAAAGCAATTTCAAACAAACATGGATATTTACTTCTTATTTTTGTAAAGCCTAAGTATAATTTTATTCTTAGTTAAAAGGAAGCAGAAGCCTCAGCTTTGTTTCTTATTCCACATGATAAATATGTATTGCTAACATACCTGGTTCAGACTTTCCAGTTTAGACTGTTTTAGTTCTTCATATTTCAACTTCCAAAGTGCTAATTCATTTTCTGTCTTTTCCACTTCTTTTTCCAGAAATACATTCATTCTGAAAGGGTTTTAAAAATCAGCATTACTTTTTGTTTTGAGGATGAAAAAACATACATGACATTTAACTTCTGTCCAAAGCTTCAGTTATATTTTACAGCCTTTTTCAACTGCATATTTTTAAATTATTTTAAACATATACTATGACCACATAATTATTTTAAGAGATTTGTAAAAAATAATGGCTGAAGAGAGCAGACAATTCCAGTACGGAATTCAAATTCTTGTCCTCAACTTAATAAAATTTGGAAATGAACATCAATTAGTGATTTTGGTCACGTAGTGTATGGTAAGATAGCAAAGATCCGCAGAGGATTGAGATTGGTTCACTTCATTTGAGTACAAGGAAAAGATTAAGTACATGTATATGGGAATATATACATACAGTACGTGCAGAGCACTGAAAAAAAGAGGATTCTTGAAAGAACGAGAAAAACATTTTGGAAATGTGGATTATTTATCTCAGAGATACTACATCCTCACTAAAATGACAACTCTAAGGATTCTGCTCTGGAATGTTATTTGAGTAAAAAGTTCATTACTATATTCTGGAAAACGGTCAGAAAAAATAGTTCACAAAGAAGGAATGATGGTTCCTACTGAAATACTGAAGTTTGGTTTTAGCTTTTACCTCTTTTCAAAACACAGTATTATCAGCAATTAAGGATATAATGAAAGAAATATGAAGCTCTACAGATGTTCCTGTCTTTGAGACCCATTAAAAGTTTCATTTTTGGGCCCACAGCAAGACTGCAGCCAAAGTCCAAAGATAACAATGAATTTTTCATAATTTATATCCTTGACTTCATAATTTCATTTCGTATTTGTGAAATATGTGTATATGATTTTGCAATAGTCTAACAAAATAGAATTTGGCTCACAAGAAAAAATGAAAGAAAAAAATTACTCTAAATTACAAGTAAAAACTTTCAGTTTATATTGGTACAATTTTTTAATAAAAACAGGTTATTGTTTATAATCCCTGATTATTCAACTGGCTATAAACATCAGTATAGGAATAAAGCATATAAAGTCAGGAACCTGAATAAATGGGTTTAGCTACATTCTGAGAATATTTGATTTAAAATCTTTCTTCCACAGCATAAGGAAATCAGCAAAAGGATATGTGACAAGGCTTGCCTCTGGGACATATTCACATAGTACTTGGTGGGCTTGTGCAGAGACACCAGAGTTATCACTGAGTGGTCTGGCTCAAGGCCTGGAAGCAATGTTAGCTGGATCATTGAAGCAATGTACTTGTGTGAAAAGTGTCTTCCTGTTGCCTCTTTCTTTACAACTAAACTGAATACTCTTGATCCAAAAACACTTAAATCACTTATGGAGAGGTTAGCTGTTTAAGTAGGGGCATGTCCAAACACTATCTCTACATGTGCTGGTTTCAGTTTGGAAAAAATCTAGCCACAACTCTCGAGTAATGAAAGTAAGCCAGAAAGATCTACTGAGAGGTCCTGCACAGAATGAGCAAGATCATACTGGCTGCCAAAGTAACCTTTGGCCTAGGGGTTCAAGTTGTCTGTAACCCAAGCTTACTTTTGATGTAGCACAGCTGTGTCCTTGGCTGAAGTTTACTGAGAAAATTTCTAAATTGTCAGGAAGAAGCTGTGAGAAAGTACTTAAGCTAGAGCTATGCAAACAAATGAGATTGTTGAGATAGTGATTATTAGCATATCCAGAATCCAGGAGCAAAAATACTGATGTGAACAAATATAAAACTCAAAGAGAAAAAATGGGAATCTGAAGATGTCAAGTCATCTAAATGAGCCCATTCCTGTGAGAAGCAGACACTAAGCCTGCCTGAACTGGTGGATGATAGTCTGCCCAACAAAGACTCACAGGGTGACTCAAGAGACAAGTGATTACGTTAGTTTTTGTCTGGTAATACTGTTCATAGGTATCTATTTTGTGCATAGCCAAACATAATTGCTTCATATGTCTCAGCTGAATATATTTTGCTTACAGAAGCTCTTTTATAGAGGAAATGTTGAACAAAGAGAGCTAAAGAAGACGTTGTACACAAATGTTTAACATTATGTGAAAATTGCTGCTCCATGAGCAGTTACTGCCTGAGGTTGGAACTGCTGTAGGTTGCATGATACAAACATACACCAGTTTTTATCATGCCCCAGTAAATTTATTAATATACTCCATAATGAAGAACAGTCAGTACATACCTAGGGATAAGTATCAAAATCTGGCATCCTGAAATACAGTTACTAACTGGCTTGAAAGGCACATGAACAAACACAGAGCAGAAGGTAATACAGGGATTTATTAAATTTTCATCAAATAAGAGATTTGCTTTAAAAATGTTGAATGATTATCTCCTTTTTAAAAGGAAATTTCTGCATACTATGATCTCTGTTGAACAAGTAAAATACATAGAACCCTAAGGATTTCAACCAGAGAAGAGTAGATATGAGTTATCAGCCTCTTAAATCTCATGAAATATCAAAAATTTAAAAATTTTTGGATTTTGGCTTCAACAAAAAATGGAATCTTTTTAAGTAAGATAGAACGCAGTTTCAGTAATCTGCTGCAATATGATTCAAAAAAAGAATGGATGTTTTCTACGGCTTCCTGCTTCAGTTAACAACATAGTAAATGTGTTCTAAGAATTTAAAATAAATGTTTTTTTCTTAAATTTTAATATACTTCAGACGAATTATCTACAGGAAAATTGTAAAAAGAAAGAAGTGACAGGAAAGATTCGTCACAGTCTATTACGTACTCTTTGAACTGAAACTTGACAGTATTTGCAAGAGAAGAGGCATTCTTTACTCCTTCTGAGTAGCTTTAACCAGTTTTGAAGCTACAGTCACATTAAACTGAAGTCTACTACCTCATACATTGCGCATATAGCATATACCACATGTTTCCTTGCAAAGCAATTTTGGTGTAATTCAAAAACGGCCTTCATTATTCTGCAGTCACCATTTACTAACAAAAATTTGAAAGAGCCCACGAAAATTTCTTATAATGCTACGGTGCTCCAATAATTGAATATAACATAGCTTAGATGTCACTTAATTCGTATCAAATCTCTGGTAAGTACAAATTTTTTAGTTAACTGTATATTCTTAACAGTTTTATTACAGAGTACTTTTTCATGCTAATGATAAGCAAGCCAAAGGAAACGAGACGTACACATTACTGTGAAACCCTTACAATATATGTAATTACCAATTTCCAAAACCATTAAAAAATACATATTTTCTGACTTAGAGCTTAGAAATACCTAGGAGAACATACGAGCTATAAATGCAAAACTTCACTATATTTACATTAGAAAGTTTCTTTAAAAAACTTATTTCTAATGAAGATTTCTCCAAGGAGGATATATTTTGTACTTACTCTCTTTCTTTAGTTAAGATTTTCTGTAACTCAGCCAAATGCAAATGCAGAACAGAAGCACGCATTAAATCATTCTCTGGTGTCTGAGCTGCGTTGTGCAGACCTTTTTTAGGTTCCTCAAAATAAATACTGGTAAATCCACTGGGAAAGGAATCAAGATGCTTTGGAGCCATTTTTTTATTCTGACTGCTTCTTAGGGGCTGTTTGATTAACTCCACATCCTGAGAAAAGAGATAAACATGGTATTTGAGAAAAACATAAATAAAGGAAAAGTCTAAATATGACTTCTGCCTGCTACCAAGGCTCTTCTAAACATTTAAACCATGTAGGGGGAAGAAAGGAATAAATAATATCTTGTATAACTGCAATGAGTTACAGTTAGAATGTTCTCTAATGCAAAAATGTCATTCTGATGGAGTGATCACTGCTTTGTGGTATCTCACACTGTGAACATGTGAGAGTTTTCATAACTAAAATATTTCTAAGTTTTCTCTACTAAATAAATACGTTCCAGTTGTCACTAGTTGGCTATAACTATGGTCAAGACAGAATCTTGGAATTATTAAAACCAGGAAAGCAACTTATATGTACAGATAAAACATTGAGAAATTCCACATAAGAACTCTCAGAGTTCTAATGTAAGTCATGTTGAAACAAATGGTGGACTTTTAACAAGTTTTGTGTAAGGACCAGTTATGTGCATAACATACTAGTTGGGTCCCAACCAGAAACAAAATGTGCTATATTGTCTATTTTGAGGAGACAGAGTTTGCATGCAAAACGTAAGCAAAATTAAAAATATTTAGAAAAAAAATTATTCAAAAATACATCTGTATTAGGAATTCTTTTGAGATTTTAATTGCTGTGTTTGCCAAATGAAAAACTTGCCACATTGCAGAAGAATTCACCTCACCTCTTTCCTCATTTCAGAAACTGCAAGTAGTGAGAACTAAATTGTATTTTAGATATCAGGAACCTACACTACTTTTTGAGATAGCAGTATGCAAAACATGGAGATTTCAGATATAACCTTATAACTTCTAACGTGAAAGATAGTCAGAGCATTACATTATTGGAGACAACAGCCTTTTACTTATAGGTTTAGCCATAGCTAAGGGATCTGAATTGTTTTCTGTATTTCTCTGTATTAGGATTATAACATGGGTGAAAATCAAAATAATTGCTTTTATAATATATGAGATCACATTATATTTTAGAAAAAATCCTTGAAAAATCTCATTTCTAAACACATAACTCCTTCTTCTTCATGAAGTTAAAAGAAATCCCCATTCTTTACCTTGTTTGAGTCTTCTGCCCAAGGAATTCTGTTGGTTTTGTTTAGTTCTTCCACATGTTCTTGTTCCAAAAATATTAATTGGTTTAGGTCTTTTTTTATATGAGATATTTCTGAGGAACTGAAATATTCTGTTTTCCAAGTAGTTACATTTTCTAAACTTTCTTTCTCAGTTACTAAATCCTGGTTTATCTTTTTAAGCATACTCAGTTCTTTTACAACACTGTCCAATTTTATTCTCAATTGTCTGGCTTCTTCTCGGGCTTTATTTCTTTCTGCTCTAACTTTGCTCCATTTCTCCCTCCAATTAGCAGTACAGTCTGACCACCAGCGCATAGTTTTCTCCATTTGGGCAGCTCTGGCTTTGACTTCTTCTAGTTCTCGAATTCTTACTGCTTCAAAAATTTCCAAGTCACTGCTGGAATTCATACGCATGTGTGTATAATGAGCTGAGTATGGGTAGAAATTTTGAGATGGAAGATTCGAATTACACAGATTGCCATCTGTTTGGCAAATTCCATCTAACTTATTAGGCTGTCTTGGTTGGGTCCTAAAAATCTGTATATCTTCCATTGAATGCTGAACATATCCTACATCCATGTTTTGATTCATAATCTGCTATCACCCCTAAAAAAGACAAAGAATAATTTAGCTTCCTTCAATAAAATTATGAATAAATTTATATTCAATTAAATAACCTCAAGCAACAGTTTATATTACTCTTAAAATAATGATATATCTATCTTATTAATAATAGTGTTTGACATTTTAAAAGTGAGTACAGCACAGACAGGTATATTTGTTACTTGACTAGGTATTGATAACAAAGGAAATATCATTCATTTGCCTTCTTTCTCAAACAATGGAACCTCATGTTAGGCAAAATGATAAGTTAAATTTACCTATATAAATGAACAAAATGCAAATTCACATTTGATTTTTTTCTTTTCACAAGAGAAGAAAGCCAAGCATCTTCACAGTGGGTTTTATCATCTACATTCCACAAAATACCCAGAAAGTATATATATTCATGTTATTCTTGAAAAGATAATGCTATCCTACTATATAGCATATTACCTACATAGCGATGATATGACTGCTACTAAATGCTGCTGCACCCTTTTTCATTATTTATCCATTATTATTCACTCACTTAGATAAAAATCAGCACCTCAAAAATTGCATTCTCACTCCAATATTTAGAAAATTCTGATACGGAGAATCTGTCATCATTTATATTTGCTTTTCATTTTTCCCTTGGCTATCAAAACATAACCTAACAAAACAAAACAAAATCTTGCTATAACAACAGAAGACTAAGTTGATAAAATTACTTTTTTTTTCTGAATGTTCCAACATCTCTCTTTAAAAAACCATGTTTATATATCATAATGATTAGGGTTACCACCTGTATTTGAAATGTAGAAAGCCAATACAGTAAACAAAACACTGAAGAGTAGATAGTTATGGCATTATTTATACTTCATTTCAACTGAATAAAAGTTTTCACACTTTCTGCTTCCAGTTTCTCAATTTTTAAATGCTGCCTTTCAGCAGTTTTTTATCCTGGATTGCTGATTCTGACTCTGCACCTAAGCTTCCAAAAAATTAAATGTAATTTAATTAATTAAAATTTAAAGTAATTATTCTCTTTCCAGAAAATATTAGTGCTGACTTAGAGGTGGTAAGGAATAGAAGATGTTCACATGTGTCTTAACTTCCCTACGTGCTTTTCAGTTAATGTAATCAAGTTACGTGGAACTATAACACTGTAGGACGTAGGACAGTGTTTTAGCTATATAAAGATAAGGAATACATAAAACGCTTCCCCAAATAAAAGATTCTTAGCATATAGCTAAGACCAATTTGTGAATTTGTTTATGAAGCCAAAAAAGATTAACCTAAATAAATAAAACAGTGAGAAACCTAGAAAATCTGACAGCATTTATTAACTCTTTATTAGTTGATATCTAAACTTTTAGAATGCAGCTTAGGCACAGAAAACTTCTTCGTTCATCATTTCTTAGAGATAGTAGGGTTGATGTTGCAGATAGACACTTGCTTCATCAAACTACTACTGATGTCACTTAACACACATTATACTTCCCCAGGGTTCTGCCTGCTCCAAAAACTTTTAACTTATCTTGGGTGAAAAGAGAATATTTCTTATGTAGAACATAGACAAAGGAGATTCATATTATTATTGTTACAGAGACCTCTAAACATAAGAAATAAGTCAACACTGAAAACTGAGAGGGAAAAAAAGCAGCTATCCAGAACAAGTTTGAAAGTTACCAGTTTGAGTTTGTAGCAGCAGACTAGCTAGCTCAGCACGTGGAACTCAATGAGCATAATTTACTTAACAGAAGATAAGTAGATGTAAAGATAAAAGAAAGTTAGAAAAGTAAAAGAAAGTGGGGATTTTCTTTCCAGTGAAACCTTCTGGTAGTTCCACCTGTTTAATAATTCAGGGACAAGAAGTAACACAGAATCCCTCTTAAAGTATTCTTCCTTAATTGAATAATCTAAAGTACGCCCAAAGAAAAGGAAGCAACATTCATAGCATTGTTTGAGAGGGGTGAAGGTATCATAAATGAGATCTGATTGATATAAGAAAGAAAAAGTTACAGACGTTTGGCAAACAAAACAAGGAATATGCTCTAAACCATATTTCATTGTATTGCAACTTTGCTTATTTACTTAATGTTCATAAACAATGGCAGTTAAGAAGAATAGCTCTTGGTTTATTGTTCCAAGATATTATTATGGGCAAAGGGAAATGTTTTAACTCCTCATGACACACAAGAAAAAAACCACTGGAACTGAAAACAGTTATTACACTTCACTTGTGTTAATACCTGCTCACTGAACTGAAGTTTTCCATGAGTTCAGCTGCTAGACCATCAACTGGATACTGTATTAGCACCCTTTTTTTAATTGCATGACTTAATCTTTAGTTACATGCCACTTAATTATCAAAACCTCAGCCAAACATTTCTTAAAAGGCATTCACATCTTTACAGAAAATATCTGCTTCAGAAGGAACCAGTTAATTTTCTTTTGCATAAGCTGTAAACACAGTAGAAAAAAAGTCCAAATTGCTTATCTTCTTCGCTTACTCCAGGAGATGCAAAACTGTTTGGACTTATATAAAATATATATATCAGTTCTATGGGGAAAGAAGAAACTTTTGTGAAAAGTCTGTCATAGCTGGAAGTGCATTGCTGTTTGTTTCCCTTGACATCTGGGTGGTTTGAGTTAGCTCATTTTAAAAATGATTCTAACTGGAAAACTGCTACCATAGGACAGAAAACCCTTCTGCAGCTGTGGGCTTTGTATGGACATCAACAGGTAACAAATAGTGTGGATAAATAATGAGAACATGGCATAGGTTAGAACATCAATTGAATCCTGTCATCTGCTCTTCTCTGCTGGCAGAAGTGTGGGTCACTGATGGGAGTGCACAGTGAGTGGGAAATTAGTGAGAGGTAAAGCTGCAGCCATACTTGTACAGACCATAGAGAAGCCTACACGGCAGGAGCTGGTGGCTCAGCCCAGCTGGCAAAGCAGAGCTTAGAGGTATGGAAATGACTTTGAAGCACTGAGCTATAAATGCCTATGCAGACTTATACTCCATGTGGGATTCTCTGATCCTGTGGCTGAGAATGGGGTGGAAAAAATTAACAAGTAAACAACAGAGATGTCTGGGTATGAATACAGACCAAAAATTTATTGATGATGTAATTTAATCTAAGAATGTGTACCTACTCACAAAAACACTACAAAACTTGAGGCAAAGGGAAGCAAGGCAGCTGGTCATTCTGCATAAAATCCTAAGACAGAACAGGGAATTCGTTACAGGAATGACTAGAGCACAGAGGGACAGATGATTTGTATCAACAGGATGCATAGAGATGTACAGTGGCATCCTCTGACAAAACAGATCCTATTCAAAACGGACTATTCTATTCACAACTTCCATATTGCCACACCTATCAAAGTTGACCACCACCTCAAAATTGTCCTTAAATATTTAGATGTACGTAACTCCACACCTGAGATCCTGCTGAGCACACAGCTCATGCTAGCCTCTGGGACCAGAGCCATCTGGGTAAGCATAACACATACAGATGGCACAGCACACAGGGAAGTAAGGGCCACTCTGCAGCTATCTTTTCCTGCAACTGTTCTCTCTTGTATCTTTGTAAAGGCACTGCCCCAAACTTACTGATATAGTATAGTTTGAATTCCAACCTGAAAAGTACAAATAGGTCAACATACTCAAAAAGCTTTGGAATCACAACTGTATTGCTGAGGATTTTGAGCTTCTTGCAACACCCAAACTGTAGCAGCAGCAGAAGAGTGAGCCCTGACAACATTGTATCAGAAAGTATTTTGCTCATAAGTGGAAATTCACTGGAAAATAGACAACTTTTTAGCTACAGAATTCATGAAATAATGAATTTGTGTACTGATATGTTAGACTGTATAGTCTGTATGAAGAGGATTGAGTTTTTGTTTGATGCTTCTTTGGTTTTGGTTGGGTGTTTGTGTGTTGTTTTTTGTTTCTTTGGTTTTTCTAATAGGTTATGAGCAAATAAATAAGTGCATTTCACAGGATATATCTGTCCTTTAAATACGAGAGATTTCAGTGGACAGTGACACCATACATTCACATATTTCCACAATCTGGGTTTGATCATGGTCTCTCTGAGCAAGTTAAGAAAATTGTTATTTTAATACTGAAAATTAAGAAGGTGGTGATTTCAATACTTTTGAATGCACAGCCAAGGATTGTTGTATTTATTTTTTTTTTTTTCATAGCTATAAAATATACCATATAGTTTAAAATTATTATATTTTTAAGCAGTTGATGTTGTATCCAAACATTATATTCCTAACATGTGTCAAAGCTAAAAATCAGCCAAAAAATGTCCTGAAATAAAGACACAAGCAATGCAAATTATTTCCTGTCATAAATTATCTGATTTTTTTTTCCTGTTTACACTTATGTAGCCACATTTTAAATATAAAATATTTGATGCAACTCTCACTTACTTAAAAATTCCCATAGCTACTAATTTTTGTTAACTAAAAACAATTAAGCTGCAAAAATCATATAAAGTTACGTTTCTAATTTCATGAAAAGAAATGTCTTAATGGTTTTGCTGCTTTTCATTTCTTTTTTCCTTTTGTTTGATTATGAAATCTGTGAGCCGTATGAAAGAAAAGGTTTTTCTCACTGCATCACTTCAGAAATTCAAATTTGTTAAGTATGTTTTCAGAATCAAATTAAAATCACCACCACAATTCATTCATGTTCTGACACGCAAAATAAAGTCTATGCAATTTCACCTTTCTTCTACTACCAAGGATCAGTCTCAGCTTTTGAAGTGTAAAGACAATGTAAGATCAAAAAATTAACTGCAAGATTTCTAAAGTTGATAATTAAATCCCAGAGCTTTGTTTGATAAAAGATAAACACAAAATATTTGACCTGTCAGCAAAGAAGGAATAAAGACAGAATTGCTGAGCGAAATCTTACACACTTCCTAGGCCTGGCAAAACAAAAAGTTTTGGGAAAACTGAGTATCACTTTTGTGCTCATATTTCCTTATGGCATAAAAATATTTGCCTCTGACATGAAAAAGCAAAAGATCCTAGTACTTAAAAACAAAAACAACAGATGTAGTACTACAAGAGAGTATGACAAATTGTAAGCAAGCGTTAGTAGAACACAAAGCTTTTTCAAAGAGGACTCAGATCCCAGTTCTGCACTGATAATGACCAAAGGATGGGGCAGAGCATTTGTTTCTAAAGTGCCCCAGAAAGCCTGCTATTATATTAATAGTCTACGTGTAGCTTTATTCTTCACAGAAAAACAAAAAATGAGCACATTAATGGTAGTGACTGAAATGAAATATACCACAGAGATTAGTAAGTGAAAGGAGAATTTTTCATTCAGAAGTTTATCTGAAATAGATTATAGTTTTCTTTAGTCAGAAAGTAAACAGAATTATACAGAAACCACAGGAAAATCAAGCAATGACCAGTATGTAGCAATAAGAATTTTAGACTATAAAATAACATTAAGTACCTGATATTTCAGTATTCATCATAAGAAACAAAACTTTGCTGACTTCAGAAGAAAAATCCATTCCATTATCAGCAATTTGCTTCTTGTGTGCTATTCACTTAGACTCAAAGGATAAATAGATTTGTTCTCTAGTGGTCCTCTCCAACCTCATCACTCTCTGAGGAGCTATGAACGTCCCTCTTCTCCCACTTTTAGCAGCAGTCATAACAGCCAGGAAATTAGAAGAAACCAACATCAAGAATTTGAAATTTCTCTGAATACACATCTTTCAACAAAATGGTATGCAAAACAGCATGTAAGTTGAGAAGACCATGTTATGAAATCACTGATCTTAGAAGCAGTATTTTTTCATTATTGCCACAGAACATAGTATATCCACATTTTTTAAATCCATAGCTCCTACAATTATTTTCTTTTTTAAAAAAATACTCATTTTATGTTAACCGAATAACTGTTAATAGGAAGAATATATGAATATCTTGACTGTTTCTTTAGAAACATAATCATGCCCTAAAACTTTGTTCTAACCAACCTGATTTGTGAACTTTTAAAATGAAGCAACAAATCACGTACAGAACAGAGCATTTTGTATATTGTCATTAATAAAATATTGTAATAATTTTAATGATAACGATAAATCGCTATTCCATCATATTAGCAACAGAATTCTCTCAAACAATTAAAGAAAAATGGATTTACTTTTTATTTTTTGCAGAAACATTGCATTTCTGTAAGAATTTGGTGATGTATGTGTCATGGTTTCATGATTTCTGTTATCAGTATCCCACATCATAACATCATGTAAAGCACAGGGAATTAGAGTTAATACCCCAGTTCCAGGGACTGATAACATTCTGGATGCCTGGTTCTCAGAAGAGAAGTACATACCCCAAAGGACTTCACATTCAGACATGAAGATAAAACCTGCAAGTCATGGGACTCTCTCTCTCTCATCGCCTGGCAGTGTGCACGTGCTTCCCAGCCATTTCACCTTCAATTTAAAGCAAGGCCTTTGGTTTCAGACACTCTCTCTCTCTCTCTCTCTCACTTAGTTGATTTATGATCCTCAGTTCCAATTACATTGCATTATATTGTGTTACCTTGCATTCCAATACCATACTTAGTAAAATTAACCTTCCTCCTCAGATCATTGCCACTGTTCTGTCCTTAAGCCCAGCTCCCATCTGCCCACACACCCTTTTCCCCTTTCCCTTTTTGAGCTAGCGGATCTCCAGGCCTGCTGCCCCCACCATAGACATACATCAATCTACATAACTCCATGACAGTATGGAAAAAAACTTTCCTGCTTTCCTGAACTTTTTTTCCTATTTAAGCTATTTTGAGGCAGCAGTGATTAAAAGATAAATCCAGACAGACTGTTTTAAAAAAAAAAAAAACCTACCAAGTTATCTTTATTTATTATTCAAGCACAGTAACGTACGCTTGTTTTGTTGTTTTTGTTTTTTTTTTTTTAAACTTGTTTTTCTTGCATTTCAAATGTAAAACAGACAAGCAAAAAATCACCACAAAGCACGCAAGAGTTGTCACTAATGGATTTAAGCCAGCTACACTCCCCAAATCTTCAACTGGATAAGAGTTGATATTTTTTATGAGATAACATTTATATAGCTTCTGTAAGGGCCTACACATTCATCCACACATCAAGTACACAAATGCATTTTATAACATACTGAGATATGAACCTTGAGTGCACATTGACAACATATGTTCAATTGCGTAACTTTTCCATTTCTATTACTGCAAGTCTATTTGTTCCTTCTTTCCAAGAAATCAAGGAATCAAAATGCTGGCAAATGAAGAAAAAAGTTCTTAAAGTACACATGCAGAATGCAAGAGAAACTCAGAGAAATAAATATCTGCTCCTCACAAGTCAGTTAAAATTTGAAACTATAAGTGTGATGACATACTCAGGTTCTGTATTTCACTATTTTGCTACACTAGAGCCAAGCAGCAAACAACAATAGAATATGCAAAAACCAGAAAGATTTAATTAGTTGAGTAATCATAGAATGGTAATGTTGAAGAGGAGTTACATTTTTAAAAAAGTACAAAATAAGGAACTATTCTTTGAAAATAAGGACAGTTCCATTGTATTTCAAAAAACTTAGTTGTTCTTTAGCTTGAGGCGTAGAAAACTGTTCAGATCCAAATCTGAAAGATTACTCTTTTATTTTGAGATATTTCTCTTCCTTTCTAAGAAAATATCTGTGACCCATGACTAATTATTCTCAGGGATGCACACAGATTCTTTGAGAATTGGTGCAGAGGACTCTGTAGAGATGAGTAATGTTCCTAAGGGGTTAATATACATATATACTACTAAACATCTTGGTCAGTGACATAGATAATGGGACTGAGTGCACCCTCAGCAAGTTTGCAAATAGACCAAGCAGGGTGGTGCAGTCAGAGCACTGAAGAGAAAAGGTGACATCCAGAGACATCTTGACAAGCTCAAGAGGCAAACAGCACACAGTTCAACAAGGCGAAGTCCTACATCTGAGTTGAGGTAAGCCCAAAGAGACTGGATGGTGAAAATTAGTACAGTGATGAGAAAGTAACCCCACAGAGAAGGATTTAAGGCTACTGCTTGGTGAAAAACTCAGTATGAGCTCATGACATGCATTTGCAAAATGAAAACCAAGTCACAACCCTGGCACTATTGTATGCTTGCCTTCTTTCATGCCCATGTATTTTCAAATCTGTTGAAAAATCTCCAGCACATTTGGCATATGGATTAAGCTTTTAATCAATAAATTCCTAAAATTTTTCTAAAGCAAATAGGCTGGTAGAAAGTAAGTATCCCTTTGAAAAGACTCTACATACACTCAGAAAGATTATTAGACATAAGAGAAATTCACACAGGTTTTCATAGCACCTAGAAACATTCATAACTTGAATGGGGGTAGTGATATTCCCCTCAAAATAATTTTACTCTTATACTGTTGTCAACTGTTTGAATCACTACAGTTCTCTTTGTAAAAGAATCATAGAATCACAGGGTTGGAAGGAGGACCTTTAAGATCACCCCCTCCCATTGGCAGGGATCACTAGATCAGGTTGCCAAAGCCCCATTCAGCCTGGCTTCGAACTCTTCCAGGGATGGGTCTTCCTCATGCGATCAAACATGTCATCCAGGATGATCTGTTCCATGATCTACCCAGGCACAGAGGTGAGATTCACCAGCCTGTAGTTCCCAGGGTCCTCCTTGCTCTCTTTCTTGTAAATGGGAGCGACGTGACCCTTCCTCCAGTCATCCGGGACCTCACCTGACAGACACGACATTTCAAATATGATGGAGAGTGGCTTGGCAAACATCTCAGCCAGAGCAACCTCCTTCAGAACTCTGGGATGCATGCCATCTGGCCCCATAGACTTGTGCACATTCAGTCTCATGAGACAGTCTCAGACCTGCTCTGTCCTCACAGCAGGGACGAGATTTACCATCCCAGTCCCCACCTAGAAGTTCAGGGATGCAGGGCTCAGGGATGTGGGAAGTACTGGAATCCTGGCCACCAGTGAAGACCAAGGCAAAGAACTCATTCAGTACCTCAGCCTTCTCTTCATCCATTGAAGCCAGTTCTCCTTTTACATTTACCAAAGAGACACACTCACTTTGGCATGTCTCTTCTGGCCAATGTTCCTGTAGAAAGTCTTCCTATTGTTTTTCATGTCCCTCGCCAAGTTCTGTAGCCTGCACCTTGTCTTTCCTGATCCCATACATTTTATGGGATATATAGAATATATTCTATATCTTACTATAGAGTGATGTACATACCATGCACATACAGATTAATAAAAAAACAACTTGGAAAGTAGTCACAGATTATAATAAAGCTAAAAACTAAACAAATCCTACTCTTTTTTCCTTTTTGGCTGCCACTTTCAGTTTAAGCAGTTTGTAGACTTCAAGATTAGTGCCAGTGTTATATACTCAGAGTGATTTAAGTCTATTGGTTAACATAAGTCATTACATACCATTCCAATATCTTCCAAATTCTTTTACAGAGACAACCTTACATTTCTTTGTCTTTGAAGTTATGTTCAAATCCTTAGCGTTAAATACAGGCAACATGAATTTGTATAGAGATGTTGTCATTTACTACCATTACTAGCCCAGAAAAAGCTCAGAAGTACATTTACAGTATTCATTTACAGTATTTTTTTTTCCCATATGAATGTTTTGTTTGATTACAAATGTTATGGTTAAAATGTTATGAACTTCTATGCACTCAAGTCTGTAGTATTGATACTAATTTCTCAGTAACTACACTTGGAAAGAAAATGTTTAACAAGTTTATGCAAGGAAAATAGAACACCACCACAGTTTCCTGGACAAACTCAATCAAAATCTAGTATTAGACAGAATCCAAGATAAGCCTTACCTCATATATCAGCTATTTGTAGTTTTTGTGACAAGTTTGATTAGCTGGTTCACCACTGAAGTTATTATTGACTGTGAGTTTTTACTAGAATACAAATGATTAAAAAAAAATTCAATTCCCAGGTAATTAGGATACGAATGAACAATCAGCGTTTTAGATATATTCAGAGTAACCAACTTATAAAGAGGTTTACAAAACAGTGTAAGTTTATGGACTATACAAGCAGCCAGGTCACCTTAATTCTAATCTAATCTCATTCATTCCATGTACAGGCACCTACTCTTTATTAGTCAACTGTAATTGTATGAGTTCAGAACAATTTAAGTCTTACTTTGAAAATGGAAAGTGATTTTTGTTAATGGCCAGTCTAGCAAACTTCATATGATTTCCTGCTTCTGAATAGAGATCTCTTATATCTTTCTACAGCAAGAGTTTTTAGTGCTATGACAGTATGCATGAACAGAATAAAAGCTCTTCTTACATAAGAGAATCATTGTGGCTCACTACCATTTAACAGCAAACTGTATTTTACAAGAGTTATGGCAGGACAGACAGAACTCTTACAATTGTGGTTACATCAGACAACTGGTCTGAGGAAAAACCATTTTAGAGGTTAGTTCATTTGGATTCGTACCTATTTATTCAAAATTCTTCCATTCTATTAGACTAGACTTGCTTCCCATCTTCCAAGTTTGATTACTCTGTCACCTTGGGAGATCTCTCCCTTTGCGAGGATAACTGAATAGATGAAGATTTGCTGCTGTAAAATTAAAATTTCTTCGGTTATTATTGTTCTGATAATAATCCGGATTTTGTGATGAATTAAGCTGTCTGAAACCACAGGTTAATTTGAATAGCCGCTTGATGCAATACTGATCACATTTTGTGGATTTTCCCTGAACTTTTGAGGGAAAGCTCCTCTCCCAGAAAGAAATATAAAAGGCTTCAGAAAGGTATGGGAGTACATGTCCAAGACATTCCACAAGGCTAGATCTGCCTTTGGGCATGATATTCATCATCTGTTCTAGACATCTTTTTAAAACTTGCCAACAGTGAAGTCGACTAAGTAAAAATCAAAGGAGAAAAGAAAGCTAAAAATCTCCTTCAGCTGTTCATTTCAATTCAGGAAGCCTATAAATGAATCTAAGTCAACTGAAACAAATATCTTCAAGTAAACTTTAAATAAGTTTTTGGTTTGTTACTCAAACTGAAGATCATAGTGTTGTGGTTCAGTTTTCAAAAATTGCTTTCCCTTCTCAGCCATTAGTAACCTCAGCAATATACAATATAACATTTTCCTACTCATTTTAAAATGCTAAATTTGTCCTCCTGATTTTGTGAGAGCTTCTGTAGTTTGTGATTGGGTACAGCCAGAATCTAAGACGCTCACTTACTCCCAAACAGCTCTGAGGGCTTAAGAGAAGATCTAATTTACTCATTTTCCTCAGATTGTCCTATAAATCAGGTTAGTTGGCTACTTTCAGTTTCAAAAGAATGGTGAGGCACTGAAACAGGTTGCTCAGAGAAACTTTGAATATCCCATACCTGGAGGTGCTCAATGCCAGGTTGGATTGAGCCTGTTTTCAGATGCAAACTATTGGATGAACCCTGGACAGCTATATCTAGTTGGGTGGCAGTTCTGTGCACCACAGGGGTCTCTTACAACCCATGCCATTCTATGATGCAAGATGAAGTTGAAAAAGGCAAACAAAGAAAAGACTTGAGCAGCACTTTACTGAAGAAGTCATATACAGTTTAAGGTCACTTAAACATACACAAATTTTCATTATAAGAATAAAAATTATCACAAGTTGAATGTTTAAAGTTGATATCAGATCTCTTTACATGTTGTATATTACTGAGTTTAAAAGTGAGCTTAAACTGGATAGGTCCACTTCTGTCTATAGGCTTTTTTCCCTTCCCTTGTAACAAATCACTGAGTGGACAGACATTTTTGTTTCCAGCATGAAGATGTAAAGAACAAAATGACCTAAAAAAAGTTTTAAATCCTGCTTTTTAAAAAGCTCTTGAAAATACCTGGAAAGGATTTTCTGATATAAGATAACAAATAGTTATGTTATATTTGTAATAATTCATGATCTTTTTGTAGTAAAAACATGACCTACTTTCAAAAGCAATTTCATAATATTGTAGAAGCACAAAATGAATCACAGGCATCTGACACATTTTTTTCAGATAAAGCATTCCAACAGTTAAGATACAAAACAATTTTTGTTCAAAACACTGCTCAGTGTCACTTTGGAAACTGGTGAATTTCCCACCCACATGAGAATGCTCAAGAATTTTATGTTTACTCTGGGTCAGAGCCTATTACTTTGGCTTGTGGGCTTGCTCTACTACTCCAATTCAGTCGGATAAGAATTAACAGAATTCTGCTGTACAGAGATGCACTCAGTTTCATTAGAATAGTTTTAGAAGCCATTAGGTCTTTAAAGAATTTTCTTTAAGGCGTTTACTTCTTGGACACTTATATGTAATTTGTCTCAGTTTTCTTTAACCATTGTAGCATACTTACACTAATAATCTTTTGTCTTTCAGTAGTTCAAGGGTTGGTGGCATTTAATGCTGTCATATTATTTTATGACGATTCCAACTCCAGTAATATGAAGGAAATGTACTTAAGAGATAATTTATATCATTACAAAAGCCATAGTTCCACAGTTACAAGAGTGCAACACAGGGCACAACATAAAATCCATGAAGTATCACATAGTACATGGTACTGGTCACACATTCATAGAGAAGCATAAATCTCTTTATCCTCCCATTGCCCACAGAGGTAGGCACTGCCAAAAGAGGTAAAAATTAACTGCATACATAGTGACTACTAAGCGTGGCTCCTCTACAAAATTTCTTTTGAATTTTTTTACAGACAGAAGTTACCATGATTTTGCCAAAAATTATACCTACAAAATTTATGGAGAAACTGAAAAGTTAAAAAGCATTGAAGTAAAAAACAATAAGAGCTTTCTGGGCACTTTTTCCCTGGTATTCCTCCAGTAATGCAATTGACATTAAATATGGGAATTGGCATGAAACTTCTCTCATTTAACCTAATGTAAATCAGACCTAGAAGCAGCATGAGCCCAGAAAATCAGGCTGTTCAGGGAGGATCATTTTCACAATAAATCAGCCAATGATATATTACCACAGACTAAAAATGGAACAGGAATAAAAGTGTACTTAGCTTAGAAACCTGCTTTTCCAAATGAACATGGAATATGGTTTTTATCATGCCTTAACAGGAAATTAATTTCTAGATAGCATTTCATTTTCTATATGTTAATATACTTCTATGTCATGTCAGTAAAATAAGGAACAAATTGACTTGCACAATCCTGTTAATACCTTGTGAAAAAAAAAAATCACAGGAAAGTTCTTTTTTTTGTTTTGTTTTGGTTTTTTTTGTTTTTTTTAAACAACTTGGAAAACTGAAGACCGAGCTCAAACCCTCCAAAATGGTTTGTACAGCAGGAATGGCCTATAATAACAATAGAAGTGTTGTTTAGAAAGTAGTTTGCACACTGTCTTTATTATATACAAGCTCACCCAAAATAACTGTAACTGCAATAAAGACCTGTCTAGAAAACGTAGGAAAAACTTTAACATTAAAGCAACCATTGCAAATAAATGAGATTAATTTGTTTAGCTTGCAACTACAATTGTAGCTTATTGAGTTAAAGCAGAAGATTCAAAGCTGAGAAAGAAAGTGAAGAGCAACAGCAAGGAACAGGCAATCATTACAGAGAGACTCTAGGCACGTGAACTACAAATCAATCTATGCTAGGAAAACAAAACAATAAAATTGATGATTTCAATTTCAGTGTTATCTAAGTTTATTTTCTGCATTTTGCTACAGCAGAGTTTAATATAAATGCAAATAAAGTATTTATCTCTGCTTTCCAAGGTACTTTCCTTAGAGCAGCTGCTTCCAGATGCAGTTTTCGCTTAGAACTCCACCATACAATAATAATTACCTTTAGGTCTACTGACACCTCACACTTATGGGAGTGAATAGTACTGAATAATCAGACCCCAAGTAATGAAGACATAAGTAACATCAGCTTTCACATCTATGTAAATAGTTCACAGGCAGAGAAGATTCTTCCTCCTAGAGAAGAGAGATCTCATGTTCCTCTCTGAAGTAGCCCTCGTGTTGTGCCCTGTGTTGCACCAACATGAAGCCTTGGAACAGAAAGTTCATGCTTGCACAACACTTTAAGTTTATATTCTAAGTACAGACAAACTTTTAGTGATTGTCAGAAGGACTAAGCAACCTGAAAAGCCTGTACTCACAGCACACTGTAATCTTTCTCTTGACATCAGAGTGTTCAGGGGGGTTTGTTTGCAACTGGATGAAAATAAACCAAACACTGAAAAACTTCACTATACACTTCAGAGCACATGCTCATTTATATAGTTAATTAAGCCTGAACATTAATGTGAGGTTTGTGTTTCCCTTAGAATGCTGCTAAATATTTCATTCAAGTGTACCACTTAGTGACTTGCAACGGATATTTTAAAAACAAAGTAAAAGCAACATTAAATTCAAAATACAATATTTTAGGCTATACAAATAAAGCAAGATGAATTAAAATCTGCACTGGTCGTTTATCCTGATAGAATGTTGCCCTTAATCGCCATATATACTCACCAATGAAAATTCAGAGGAAAATGGTTAACTAAAATTTATTTCGTAAAAAGTGGCAGAAGTTTTTTTAATTCTCAGTGTACTTTGGAACATGAAAATTTCTTATGTTTTGCATATACTAAAGGAATAATGGTTATTAGTGTGGAATTATTAACGTGGATCACAATTTCTAGTTTCTTCAGCCAACAGATTAGTCAACCAACAGAATAATAAATGTTATGGTTTAAATAATTCCAAGATCCATACCCCTTGTTGCCAAATTCGTTGACAGTACCTTCAGTTTGCCCTTACCAGCTACTTTACAGTATTCATTTTCTGATGAATTTATATCTCAGGTCTACCTGAAGCCAATATTTAATGTGAAAGAATGGCCTTAGTTCAAAGCATACTGCACACAAATGAAAGTGACAGAC